TGATCATTATAAACTATTGTACCATGCAGATGTTCCCTACGAGATAACTGTCTACACTAGTGATATGCAAGGAGCTGGTACAAGTGCCAATGTATTTGTTGTATTGTGTGGTGTAGAAGGGTCAACTAAGGATGTTATTTTAGCTGATACTGATAGGAAAAAGAAAGGGACTTTTAACAGAGGCTCTGTTGATCAGTTCGTCAAAGAGGTATTTGTTTTTTGCATGTTTGTTGTTGTTGTTGTTGTTGTTGCCGTTGCTGCTTTTGTTGCTATTTTTCACAGGGACTTTGCCTTTCTAAACACTTGTTTTCTATTGTTTCACAGTTGGATGACATTGGACCTGTCATCGAAAAAATTCGTATTGGRCACGATAACAAGGGATTTACACCYGGTTGGCATCTAGAAAAGGTAGACGTAAGACGTCTTTCTGACGAAGATGGCAGCTCCACTACCCATACTTTCCCATGTAACAACTGGCTTGCTAAAGACGAGGGGGATGGTGCCATTGTCCGTGAGCTGGTACCCCAGAAGGTTGTGGAGGAGACGGTTTGTGAAGATGGTGAAGTAGAAACAAAGGAAGTGGACCAYTATACTCTTGAAAGTATGTAATAAATATTACGTCCTTTATAGTTGTCTAATCAACTTTATTTAGTAGTAATTTGAACTTACTTTCTCTCAGTAATGCTGCCTAAAATTGAAGCTATATTTTGGTTATGGGGTCCCTGTGTTTTCTCTATATGATGTGCTTCAATTCAAGTATCATTTTGTTTCAGTGAAAAAGTACGAGGTTCACGTGTTCACTGGTGACGTCAAGAAGGGCGGGACTGATGCCAATGTGTTCATTACCATATTTGGAGAGTATGGTGACTCGGGAGAACGACAGTTGGCAAAGTCATCAACGTACTCTGATAAGTTTGAACGAGGACATGTGAGTATCTGTGGGGCAATAGTCTCCTTCACGGTTACATGCCTTTGCCACGAAACGAGACAACCGTTGAGCGTGCAATGATAGATACCTGTGAATAATTGTCCGTAGGTGTGAAAGAAGGTTTCTATCATTGCACGCTCAACTGTCATCTTGTTTCGATGTTAAGGTACGTCTACCTTTCAAGATGGCGCAGGGAACCGTTAAGAAGACTATTATGATATAATTGCCGAAATAATGATGGTGATGCAAGTCAGATGATAGTGATGACAGTAATGATAGTGATGACGGTAATGATGATAGTGCTTATTGAACCGACGGATTCTATTCCAGGAAGACATCTTCAACCTTGACGCAGCAGATCTGGGCAATATACATAAAATCAAACTTCGTCATGATAACAAGAACTTAAACGCTTCGTGGTTTGTAAACCGCGTTGAAATCCGTGACCTTGATACGGATAAACTATTCCCATTTATTATCGAGCGATGGTTGTCCAAGAAGAAAGAAGATCAAAAGATTGAAAGATCGTTTTACGTCAAAGGATATGAGGTGAACARCAGAAAAGTATTTTAATGTTACTGCCAACTCAATCATTATTTTTGTTTCTGTTAATTGAAAATGTACAAAAAGTTTGTCAAAATCGCTTTACAAACTGACATTGTTTTATTGTACARAGGGTGACCGCACAACACTAGGAACTCTTAGTGTACGATCACTGGGACGTGATAGTCGAACGTCTTCGCCTACCGGAAGTCCTCGCAGTACTAGAAGGCGCTCTTTTAAGGGGAGCGAAGARAACCTTAGCATAAAGGCACCTATAAGGAGTGAGACCGCTGATGCMGCTTTTGCAAAGGAGTTTGGGAAAAAGGACGAGGATGCGGTGATCACTGATACACCAAGTAAGGACATTGATTGGTTACCGATTCATGATCGATTGATTTGATTGATTGCCGATTCGTTATTGATTGAATTGCTACTAATTCGTTCCTTGATCGATTGTTTTCATCATTTGGTGATTGGTATATCGATTCAATGATCAATTTATCAATCCATATATCAATAGACTTTGCTCTTATCTCTCTTAATTATTATAATTTATGTGTCGTAGGCATACCCTATACAGTGAGAGTAACTACAGCCGAACAGACTGATTCCGGTACAGATGCTAAGGCTTATGTAGTTCTAATAGGAGAYAAAGGTGCTTCAGAAAAGATACCCATTAATCTCGCTCAGAAAGACAGCTTTAAACCTGGAATAACAGAAACGTTTTCTGTTGAATCTGTTGATGTTGGCAAGGTAAATATAACATGACATATAACTCTTTTTCTTGTACTTTTAATGTTAACTCTTGTTTTCTAGTATATATTGTCTTGTCTTTGCACTTTTGTAACTATTAGCCTGATGATGGTTTTGCAATAAAACCGAAATATTGCTCTATGTAATCTACTATTCTATTCGATGTTGAATATCAACTAGAATGAATATATTCGGTCTCTCATTCATCCTATTCCTCTTGTTTTCATATCAAAGTATAGGGTGCTATCAACATTACTGACTTTAAATTGTCCAATCATAGATRAGCAAATTGGAAATAGGGCATGATGGGTATGGACCATCATCAGGTTGGCAGGTGAAGGACATAGAGGTTGATGTCCCTACTGAAGGAACCAAGTATTTCTTTCCTTGTAATCGATGGCTATCACGTGATAAGGACGATGGTAAAACTAACAGAATATTATCAACAAGTGGRGATAAAGTTGTGACGTATAAACCACGTGAGTACTATTTATAACGTTAACTAAAAAAACTACAGTGAATTATGGAAAGTCACTGATTTTTTTTACTAAAATTCCTGTTTGTTTAGACGTACGCTATGAAATGAGTGTCTACACGGGTGATGTTGAATCAGCTGGCACAGACTCCAAGATCTCGTTCATTCTGTTTGGTACCGAGGGCTCCACGCCTGAAATGCCTTTAGAAAAAGACGAATCTCGATTTGAGCGAGCGGTCATGGATGTGATTAGCATGGAATGTGAAGACGTTGGAAAACTAGTCAAGATGAGAATTAAAATCGATGGAAGTGGAAGCAGACCAAGCTGGTTCCTGGAAAAGGTTGGTGTTTCATTCATTTAATWGWYTTTCAGTCCATTCATTCTTCTTTCATCCATTCATTCAACCATTCACTTTATCATAATAATTGGAATATTCTGTTTTTAGATATTACTCAGAAATGCCAATACGGACAAAGTCGATTCATTTATATGTAATCAGTGGTTATCGAAGAGCGAAGGAAAACTGGAAGTCGAAATTCCATGCGAAGCTGAAAAGGGAGAGTCGAAAGCATTGCGAAGTAAGTCTAACTGACGCCGTAGGGTCAAGGGGCACAATACAACTTTCTCTTATTCTACAAATTATGAAAGTTACAGTGTTTTTTAAACACTTGAATGAGAGACTACAGGGGTTTATATACAATGGGGCAGAAAATATGAGACATTCAAAAATCTCATAAGTCCCATACTTCTATAGTACAAAATAGCGGTTCTCTGTATTCTGGTTTCTCTTATGATTTAGCTTTGTATAACATCAACACTATTCTTTGTCCTGTTTGTCTACAGAAACAACGTATACTATCAAAYTCAAGACAGGCGACGTTAGTGGTGCTGGCACAGATGCTAATGTATTTATCATTATATTTGGACAATATGGCGACTGCGGCGAACTGGCATTGAAAAATTCAGAYTCTTTTAAAGACAAATTTGAACGAAATCACACAGATATCTTTGTTTTCAAAAATATTTATTCATTGGGTAAGTGCTTTCATTTTATGATACTATACATACGGATATTGATATTCGCTTTTGTGATTTAAATCTGTATCAAGTCTTGGAATTGACTAATTTAAGAAAATTCTAAGAATTTGTACTATCCCATAAAGCACTTCGGTCTTAGCCTATATGAAGTCAGTACAATTAATGTTTTGAATGTGACAACGTTTCTTAAATGTGAAGTATATAATTACCATACCAGGTAATGTTAAAAACATCCTTACATTTCCCCAGGTGAGCTATCCAAGGTACGGATCTGGCATGACAATAAGTTTTTAGGAGCGAGCTGGTTTTTAGAGTCAGTTGAAGTCATTGATGAATCAACCAAGGCTAGTTATTTGTTTCCTTGCAAACGATGGTTGTCAAAAGACAAGGACGATAAGAGTCTTGTAAGGGAGTTATCGTGTTCTACTGGCAGTAGAATCAGCATGGGAACTCATACAGGTATATCTTGAACATCCCAATTTGCAAATGAATTGTTATTAGCATATATTATTACAAAATATTAAATAATAATTATCATAAGATTACTACTGACGTAACTGTAATTCAGATTTACATGATTGATTGATTGAAAGTTTTGTTTGCTGGTTGATTGATTGATGAATTGATTGATTGATAGGTTGGTTGATTGATTGATGGATGGATGGATGGATCAATGGATCGATTGATTGATTGATTGATCGACTGATTGATTGACGGATGATTTATATTTTCTTCTTGTGATCATAGTTTACGACATCACTATTCTAACAAGCGACAAGCAACAGGGTGGCACTACGCAAAACGCAAGTGTCATTCTCGAGGGGGAAAGTGGGTCATCAAAAGAATTACTCATTGAAAATAGCCCYTCAAAGAAGGTACTTCGTCGTGGACACGCAGATAAATTTAGCATGAAATCCAAACAYCTTGGACAYCTGACAAATGTCATTCTCAGCCACCTAAAGAAAAGAGGAGCGACGGTCAAAGYGAGTGGAAAAGAAACTGCATGGTTTGTTCATGAAGTCATTGTTGAGAACGAAGAAAGTGGCAAGTAAGTAAAACGTCCTTACATTGTCGTTACGCAAACAACATGTTCCCATATAAACGTTTTAATAATACATTATAGCATACACGACTTTCAAAAATGGCTGTAGTTCACGACCGGCATTGTCGGGGGACTAGGGACTAGTGACGAGTCATGGAAACGAGACCTCAAAGGCCTTATGTCTAGTAATCACTACGAAGATGTAGGTAGTGTCCAAAGAAAGATGTATTGGTATGTTATTTATAACAAAATACTCTTGCAAGACACCATCGTAGTTCCTTTGAGACCTCGTMTCAGTACTTCGTCCCAAGTGCCCTTGTCGTTGACCGTGACATATCGCGCCATTTTTGAAAGTCGTGAATTATGAAGTATAAGACTTCGTACTGAATGTTAATGTGCAATCACAATTTAATGTGCTGTCGTGATTGACAGGTTTGTGTTTCCATGCCGACAATGGATACCCCTCGGTGATAGAGACGACACTGAGAACACTGTACGTCTTGACTGTAAAACAAGCGAAAAAACTCGGCTGAATACTTTACGAGGTAAAACACTTTGATATCTTACCTTTAGGCTTACTAGCGATTGCCACTTATCACCATGATTATCAATACAGTCGCTGACTCTCGCRYTTACGGCGTAAAGCGAGAGTTGACTGTATCATCATCACCAACGTAATCATCTTAAACATCATCATCATCTGCATAATCATCACTTTTATATCATAATCATTATTATCATCGTCATTATTATACACAGTTGTGCATCATCTCTTTTCCAGGCTCTCTCCATTGTTTAAGGAGTGCTGGCTCAAAAGAMTTAATATCATTGTGATTTCTGYTACTTTTATTGTGTATTTTCGCAGATCTCCAGCCTGTACAGTATTTAATCGATGTCCACACAGCAGATGTCCAAGGTGCTGGTACCGATGCCAATGTCCATATTACCATATATGGCTCCAATGGTGATACAGGGCGGCGACCACTGACCAAGAAATTCGTGGACTTATTCGAACGAGGAAAGAAAGACAGTTTCAACATGGAGGCACTGGATTTAGGCTCSCTAGTGCGCGTGCGCATTGAGCACGATAACAAAGGTTTTAAAGCAGGGTGGATGTTAGCGAAGGTCGTTGTCACGAACACTATATCGCAAGAATGCGTGACTTTCCCTTGTAATCAGTGGCTGGACAAGAAGAAAGGAGATGGGAAGATATGTAGAGACTTATTTCCACTTGCTACATAAGATGAAYTGCTGTTCTTTTAATGACACGGTAATGCGTTACTTCAAGGTATGAAATACGATCGYTGTCGTGACACCATATGGGAGAATGCGTGACATTTTCTTGGTCGCGCTATACAAACACTATATCGCCAAATAAGGAATATCCATTGGATACAAGACTCATAAAATCTACAGATATAAACAATTCTGATYATAGTTCTTTTAAAAGCACTAACAAAAACACACTGTATTTAATTTGAATATTTTATAATCAATTTAAAATATTTTATATATTTATTAAACGGAATTAATGCAGATAAGCATGTATTAAAACAAATAAAAAGTTTAACTATTAAAAACGATCAGAATATTATCTATTTTTTTATATTTTTCAGTGTTGGGCTTGCTGTGTATTTTAACGCGCTCGCGCACATTTTCCCGCCATKGTGCATTTCATATCCGAGAGGAGTTCGTTCACGACCTTGAATTGCTAACAAATTTAGCCTAAAAAATAGCTAAAACATTGATATTATCGCTGTAGATTATTGCAAAAAGGGTTCTGGAGGTATGTGATTTTATTAACCACATAATTTTATTGTTAGAAAGAAAAAAAATTGAGAATTTTGAGAGCTAATTTGGTAACGTTAGAAATATGGCGACTCATGAGCTCAGTCTCATAGGCTTGGCAAAAGATTTATCTCTCATAATTCCAATAATCACAATAATATCGCTGAATTCATCAATGCAGATGTTAAATTTGGTGGGAGTTAAATCTGTGGGAATCCTCGATTATCTAATAGGACTTGTACCTAACTAACTAAACCATGAATTTTAACCTAGAAYTAATTAGTTAGACTGCTCGCTGGACAAACCGATAAAAYGAGGTAAGCAAAATACATTGGCCAGTGAAACAATGTAAGCTTACGTGTTACTGAGAGTAATTTTCTAGAAGTTGGATCGCGTTCGGATTTGGTAGGAAACCTACTGTGCCCRAGTGATAAAACTCGACATGACGCCAGTGACGGAGATGAAGACGAACTTATTAAACCAGCAAATATAGAAAATASAGCTCTTCTTGAGGGGATTTCATGGATTCATATTTTTAATCCTATTCAATCTATCGATACGATCGAGCAATGCCGGGCCACAGACCACACGTCATTGATCTGAGGAAGAGCGACACTGGTACCCAGTCTGTTTACGAATATTTCTCTACTTCGTGACTGTGTTCAATCGGTGTTTTTTTACGATAGGTAAGTATATTATGTTTTCAAAACTATTTGATTAATTTTCGCTCGAAAACCACTAAATCTTAATAAATATAGTGGTTCCTAATGCTCATGATATAGTGGACTACACTGTCGATTTTTATCAAAGGCGAGTTTTTTTTAATATTGATGTGTTTTCATACCATTTTCGGTTCCATACGGCTTTAATTGGCTTTAGTATTTGACCTGGAGTAACGCAAAACAGCACAAAACTCTAGAAAATGGAATTAACTGTGCGTGCATTGAACGTGATTCTAAGATATAGACGATGATTTTTGTGTGATTTCTAATAAATATAATGTTGACCAATTGTATTTACGTTTTTTATCTAGAAATTAAATTTTCTCACCCTGAGTTGATTGGATAAACTGATGAAAGAATCGCAGCCGATAAGTCAATAAACCATCTATGCACGTATGTACAWGTAATATCCCCCTTTATGACGTCAGAGGTCCTTAATGTTCGATATATATATATCAACCACCCCACAAGCAATCAATCATGTGTATTCAACCTCTAGGCATCGCCGGTAACCATAAGTACTGAGATCCACCGCAGAACYCRACAGTTGTCAATTGGTATTAGTCATATACAGACGAACAGCACTGGGATTGCTATTTTGGGCAGATTTCACCTTAAATCAGTTTTATATCATAACAGTTGGTACAGACAAGCTACGTSCTGATGCAGACGACGCCTTGGAATCTATTTTAACGAATCATACTAKTTTGGAAAAGACCAGTCGAAAGAACCATGTGTTTTAAAGGTAAATGATTTTATTGATATCTAAATCTATGTAATTTGTTATCTTTTCGTTGTATGTATTATAGTTTAGGTTCTTATAAAGTTAATTAGATCTTAGGTTTAAGAAAAACAATCGAAAGATCAGGAGCAAAAGCGCAAGAAAAATAATAGACGCGAAAAAGTGAGAAAATAAAAAATAGACCACATGAATTTTGACTAGCATGGCGCAGGAGTATCTTAGACTATTTTAAATTTCTATTTGTTTTGTCGAAAATAATGCGAATACAAATTTAATTGTTGTTTCGCGTAGTGAACGTTTGTACAAAGACTAATTTTTGATGAAATTAATAAAATTGTTTTGTACAAGCGTTCAGAATATTTGAAGTGCGGGAAAAATTGTTTTTATGTGCAAGCTTTGAAAGGAAAAGATACCTACATGAGGGCACCTTTGCTATATTTCATTAAAAACATCAACAACTTGAGGTGTTAGGAGGAGCTTTCAAGGATGGCTTACAAAAACTGAAGACATAACTGAAAAAGACTAATCAACTCGGACTACTTTTAATGTTTGCTTTGAATATCAAATAAGCTGCCCTCATTCGCTGCTCCACTTTCCACTCTTCCGTCACTCTTGATAGAACTGAATAGAGACCCACATAAATGAAAATACCCAAGACATTCAAACAATACTGGAACATAGTGTTCTTTTTATGACTCCAATTAAACCCGTCTTGCTTTTAAGCATATCAGACCGACGGATGGTCTTAATGGTTTTTTCTATTGGCGAGAGAGCTTGTATGCCTWAGGGATTCTCKTTTTTAGAGCTTCTTCTTCGAGATCTTAACCAACGAATGATATTGATATCGATTCTTAAAAGGTTTTAAGATGAAAAATAGTGATATTACGTTTTTGGAAAGCTATATTTGTTGCAAATTTTTTATTGCCATGAAACTGATTTTTTTCAGTGATTGGAAATTCAGACTTTTTCGCGAAGCATTCATCTCTACTTTGTAAAGTATCTTTTAGCTTGGTAAAGTATACAGAATGGTGCACTTGACGCTACAACAGATACACTAAGCCTCTGTAKGCAAACAGGAGTCTTTAAACTATTATACATCCTGGATCATCAGAATAATCGAGTGAGTCGGTAGACAAATAATATTGAATTTAGCGCCCGTTGAGTGGTTTTTGTAATATTAATTTTTCTAACGCGTGCTGTGATTGGTCCAAGGAACGCAATTTCGGGGGTAAACGACTAGTCTCTTATCTCAGTCTGTTCCTTTGTTATTTTTTGTCGATAAACTTATCGTTTGTTTCTTGAAAAAGAATTATCATATTTTCTCTTTATTGCGGACATGACGGAAAAACAAACTTCAAATTTTCTTTGTTATAAGCATCAAAAGTCAAGTGAAAATATAGAATTCATTGTTATCAAGGAAATTAAATTAGTAGTGGAACTGAGGTTACAGAAACTCTGTGAATATATATTATATTTATAAATTTTTTTCATATATAACGCGCGCTCTGATTGGCTGACGACCGTGTTTATATCAGAGGACAGAGACACGGCTTACCGGCAAAATTTTCTTTTCGCTCGAAAATTTTTATAAAAGAAATATAAAACGGACGCTTGTGTCTCTGTCCTCTGATATAAACACGGTGGGAGTTGAAAAACACTCGAGAAGCAAGAGAAACACTCGCAGAGACACGCGCGACGTTTTATYTTTCTTAAATATCAGATAACTATGTACTCCTTTATATTAAGTTGTGTTGGATGACATACAATTCCATAATGTGGACAAGTAAATTTAAAATGATTTTACAGCGACTTTAAAACATACTTTATTGTTCATTTGATATCAGATKTTAGTATTTTCTATAAGATTTCATCCTTTCAAAAAGATCAGTGTCAATTTGAAAGTATTAAGTCAGATTTAAAGAGTAAAGAAATCGTTCCTTGTTTTTCTCAAATCAGTCCTATTCTATTACCACAAAACCTTCATCCTCTCAGAAATTCAAGTAGAGACATCTGGGTTTTAAAGAATTTTTTGTCTTGTCGATAATAACTTATATTAAATCAACGCAGGGGGTTTCTTGATATTCATCGTTAATGTTCTGCGGTAAATACGGTACGTGAGCCCGGCACTAATGAGGTTATATCTTCATTTATTGATTAAATATTGTTCTATTCTATTTCCATGGGTGACTGACATCTATATCGCCTTCAAAATGACAAGATTCATTCCTGACAAGATTGTCTTCTATTATTAAAGAAACATGGTTAACCAGCAAACATTGCGGTCGTGTTTTAGATAATAAGATGACTTGAAATATCCYTTRYCAATCTWTTTCGATCCGTCGGTTTTAAGATCGAATTTTGCAATATCTCTCCTTTCATTGAGCACAATAAAGAGTAGGTTTTTGCTTATTACTGAATGATAACGGTATTTTGGTCGTATATGACATCAGAGATTCTTACAGGGCTATTGTTCAGGTTACCAGTCGCAAAATCAATTACGTTTGAACGATAAGTGTGAGAAAGTAATAACGTTTTTACTGATAAATAGTCTAGGATAAGATAATTTTAATTACCTCTGACATCGTCATTATAAATGTATAAAATAGTTAAATCTATCGGCACTCCGTTGGAAAATTAATGGAATGTATGATCGCCAAAAAATAATTATCAGTACTTTTATGTATGAATTGAATAAAAATTGGAAAAGAAACGTTCTCTATTAGGAACACTGGATTCTTACAAGAGCATTCTTTCTTCASTTACTAGYTTCATTATTTTATCATTCTCTAATGATGGATATTACAAAAAAAAGAAAATATTTTGATAGTTTGTGTGTTGAACCAGACCATGTATATCTTTTTGAAGCACGTTTATCAGTGGTTTATCAGACATTMATGAGCTATAGTCTACTAGGCAGTTGTAGCAATTCATGAACAAATATTAATCTTCTTTATAAAATAACAAAGATACTATCTTCCAAATTCCTTCTAGTGTTGTCCTAGTGTTGTTCTAGTGTTGACACACTCTTAGATTCTCAACAATCCACTGGTTTCGTTATTGTTTATCATTGATACTATAAATTAGCTGTGTGCTTTGAGTATTGAAGTTTCTACTACAACCGGAAATACGAATTGATTTCGATAAATGCTTAAGTCTAAATCCATATAAACATACTGAGTGCTGTACGCACGCACGTRCAGTTTTTATCAGTGATATATCGGTTACACCTTTATCAAATGTGCTTACGTTTAGCTGTTGTTATTCAGCCAGTTTGGTTTAGACTAAGGAGCTTGAAGCATGTAAAGGTAGGGCTGTGATCTTATAATCTGCGACTAAGTCTTA